TCGTGTATATACGGCACAAACCGAAGTAATTTTATCCTCGTGTACATCTAGAAATTGAGTCATTTCTAAAACATGCAACTCTAAGGCAGTTTTCTAATAGGGATGCAAGATCAGGAAATGAGAGCTGTTAATTTACAGAAGGGGTGGGGGGGTTGGTCTGGGCTCTTTCACCCCCTCCTCCTCTATTTTAGCAAATAAAACCTTTCAGGTACAAGAGTGACCTCTCTAGACCAGAGAGGTGCAGAAAACCCGAAGAAACAAATTTCTAAACCTGTTCTTCTTTTATGTTTACGGAAGGTGGGCTGGGTGCGCTGACGGGTCCCGGGCTGGCCAGTCTGCTTGGAAGTGGGGGACCCCCGACCAGCAGTTCGTCATCAAGGTAGGATGCCCGTCTGGTCTGGGTCTGTAGTTTTTACTGCAACGTAAAGTTGCCACGTCTGCAGGAGGAATCGTGGCCTAACTGAGCAGGAAATATGATGGGAATTAAGACTGCTTATTACCTCTCTAAAATGAGGGTAGGAGCTCTCCATATTATAAGGGCTTGACGAGAGGCTTCTCAAAATACAAGAGGCAAAGCTGTTTTTCACAGGGAATTAATTGTGCTAATTACCTTCTCCAGCTCTCGCAGCCAGTCAGCTGCTGTGACGCCATCTTCCACGACTTCTTCTACACGTGTAACGCCTGCCCCGTCCGTTCCTGCGGCTGCGTCTGTGACCAGTCCGAGCCCCGTACCAAGTTCGGGTAATGGAACCAGCTCAGCCACAAGCCCAACCCAGCCTATTCAATTGAGTGACCTTCAGAACATTTTAGCTACTATGAATGTGCCATCTGGAGCAGGAGGACAGCAAGGTAACAGTGTTCTGACCAGACAGCTGTTGGATCCAGGAGTCCTTTGGAGCTGTTTTACTGTCCTGTCCTGTCCTGTTCCAAATTGGTTTGAAAGGTCTCTTAAATTTTTTTGGTTCTTTTTTTCATTTGAGTGCTGTTCTTGGCTGCTTCAAGAGTCTTATTCTGACTTCAAAACTGAGAGAGGGGGAAAGGACGCTAGCAGTGTGCTGACTACGTTTCAGTACTCCTCTGACTAGATCATTTGGTTTACGTGACAAAAACATGGGGTTTTGTGCATAGTCTTAACAGCCAACCATTTATTTGCTTCCTAGTTGACCTGGCAACTGTTCTGACTCCCGAGATAATGGCTCCCATCCTGGCCAACGCTGAAGTTCAAGAACGGTTGATGCCTTACCTTCCCTCAGGGGAATCTCTGCCGCAGACTGCAGAAGAGATTCAGAATACCCTGACGTCTCCTCAGTTTCAGCAGGTAGATGCCTGGCTGTCACGGGAAGCGCGGTTCTCCTTCCCTCCTCCCCCACGCGTCATGATTCACCTTGCCCTGCTTTTTCAGGTTCCTGACACTGTTGAGGGTAGGAAGTTGCTCAGTAGAAGTGGAAAGGAGGAGGGACGTGGTTTAATGGGGCGCTAGTTCTTCCTCTTGCGGTCACCCAAGGGCAGATCAGAATTTTTTACTTTTTCTTTTGGAATTGGGCGTTACCTTTATTATAAATGCTCTCTGGCAAATGGCAGGAGTAGTAGACGATTCATTATTCCCTGTCAAAGAGTGGCTTGTCAGCAGTCTCCTTACAGGTCATTTCAAGTGACCGAAGGGAAGAGACGCTCACGTTTACAGCCCTACAGTCCTCGTTCCTCTTGAAACACTAGTACTTAATTCCAGAACTGTCCGTGTGTGATGAAAGCTGGTGTATTACAGGCCAATTTGAACTAGTTACACTGATTGCAATTTGTCAATTTGCAAAATTTCAGTGGCTAAGACGACTGTTTTTAGTTTGAACTACGGCAGCGCCTTTGTGCAGACAAGACTCGGAAATGAGGGATGTTTTTAACTGGTGATTTGATACAGTGTCTGCATCTAGGTAAAAGTTTGAAGTTGTCCATGCACTGAACCAGCTGGAGGTTATGTCGCTGTGGTTTGGTGTGCTGCTCGGTCTAGCAGGGCTTACCAGTCTGTGCTTACTGGCATCTAGCTGGTTAAGAGCAAGCATTGTTCCCGATGGCGGGATCCGCACAGGGCCTGCGGTCTCGCGGCATTTCGAAGCCTGCCCACAGCGCAGTAGTTTATAAAGGAGAGCGGCTGCTCCCAGGCCCAGCCGCGCGGGCACCGTGCCGCAACAGGCCCGCTCTCCTCACGCGGTTATTGCACCCGATGCTGGAGAAAGATGACGCTAACTTTTTTTTGACGCTGTTGACTCCAATTCACAGGCATTGAGCATGTTCAGTGCTGCCTTAGCTTCAGGACAGCTTGGCCCACTAATGAGTCAGTTTGGCTTACCCGCAGAGGCAGTAGATGCAGCAAATAAAGGAGGTAAGTACCGGTGCTGTTGGGAACGATGGGTTTGGTTTGTGGTTGGGTTTTTTTTTTTTGCACTGCGCACAGCCCTTGACTGTGGACCGTAACGATTAGCTGCCAAGTAACTGGCAGAAGCTGACTCTTGCACTGTGCTTTTTTACAATGAGAAGGCGAGTGGCTCAGGTGTTCCCCAGCAGACGCAGTGTGGCGTCAGCCATGCGTTCAGAGAAGTCAGGGTTCTGCAAAGAGATGTGCTGAGCAGCCTTGGCGTTGTTTTCTGCAAAAGCTCTGGGGCTGTCATAGTCACCCTGTTCAGG